GTGTCAGTCTAATGGAAAAGACACATAAATAAAACATGATATTATAATATATTCAATAATCAGTCTAATAGCATTTACTGGCTGCTTACCAAGTTCTGGACACTGATCTAAGTGCTTTATATTAATTTAGCCCATCCTCACACAATATTATTATTGTCTGCATTTCCCAAATAGGAAAGTAAGGACCAGAGAGGTTACTTAAGTTGTTCAACCAAGGGTCACACTACTGAGATTAAAATCCACGAAATTTGACCCCACATTCTTAACCACCACTCCAGAGAACTATAGAAGCATGGAAGAGAAACATATAAGCCATCTAAGAAGGGGTCAGGGAAGACAAATCCTTCTACCCCAATAGTAGTTACATGCTTTCTGAGGTCTCTGGGAAATAGAAAAGCAGTTTATAGAATCTTGGGAAACTACCAAATGTAATGATACTAGAGTGTATAACATCTACGGTTCAAGCTCAAAAGAGTCCATTTTTTCCCAAAAGTTCCCCTAGATTACATTTCTTATTCAAATGATTGTAATTTTTTCAATCCCTGCCCTCTTTAAATGCTAAAATCCCATTATGTGCCTTTTAGATTTTTATCAAGAGAACTATACAGTTGATGGGGAAGCTTCTGATATTTCTCTTCAGGGGTCTTCTTTTTCTAAACTCTCAGCATTTTGTGTTATATAATACCTTCTGAAGACTATTATAAAACTTCCTGGCTGGATTTGTACACTGCTAATCGATTATGTGTCAATCCCAATGTCTTGTATGCAATATGATGAAGGTAGAATTATGTTTCTCATTCAAATTATTTTAACTTTCTCAACTCCCACCTAATCCAGTTCCCTCCATCCTTATAACTATCACGGACATTGAGTTGGCAAACAAAAAAGGAAAGTTGTAAGAAGTCGTAGTCCTAATAATCTTCTTATAAAACCAAATCATAAAGTAGAGAAAAAGTCAAACAGGAGTGTAGAATGCTGAAAGATGACCTCATCCTTGCAGGAGGAATCCAGTATGAGAGATCTGTGTCAGTAAGGATAGCATTTGCCTGGATGTCACAGAACCCAACTAGAATGACCTAGGTAAGGAAAGGGTGGGTTTTTGGTAACATAACCACATCCCAGGCACCTGTTTTTCTATTCTCCTATTGTCTTTGCAAGAGTTACAGTATACGTTCAGGTTTCAAGATCTATTCTGGACAGCAAGAAGGCAAAGGACAGCGGGTAAACAGAAGAAGCTAACTGAGTCTGTCCCCTTTGAAAAACTTTTTCTAGTATTCACATGCTTGAGCCTCCATTTAAATCTCATTGGCCAGGTTTGGGTCACATGGCCTTCACTAGCTGCAAGAGAGTCAGAGCAGGTCAGCCTATGACCTCAGCACATACCATCCCAGACAAAGCAGGGTTTTAATAGCAAGAAAAGGAAAGAGCATGCACATTGGGTTGGCATATTATCTATTATTACAGTAACAGGGATGACCACATTCTCCTAAAGTTTCCTAATTAAAAAAAAGTAATAGAAGAGCAGAGAAAAGGCAGGTGAAACAGATTACAAAACCCCAGGGAATATAGACAATTGAATAAAGCTGAGCCCAGTGTTACTTAAGTACTTTCCCTTTGTGCTCCTTAACAGAGATAATCCATAGGCCTGAATCTCATAGTATGAGTAGGAGTTAGACAGACTTGGGGAAGGCAGGGAAGGAATAAAACATTCCCAGCCAAAGCACAAAGCTGGGAAACACCATTTTGTATGGGGAATTACAATGCATTCCCTATTTCCAGAGATCTAATAGCAAAGTGAGGAATATCAGGCAGGTAAATGGAGCCAGATCATGGAAAGCTTGTGTGTGTGCTTTAAAAATGTGTTTATCTGGTGTAAGATGAGAATTTCCTGAGGCATCTTAAGCCAGGGAGGGATAGTTCAGACTTAGATTTTAGATAACTCACCTTTAGATAAGTCACCTAGTGACTGTGTATAGGATAGAATCAAGGAGATAAAAAGAAAGGTGGAGAAACAAGGTAAGAGGTGACCATGTTACAACAATCAGAAGATGTTGAGGCCCTGATCTGGTGGAGACACAGAGGAGTGCACAAATATGAATTATTTCCTTTGAGTATCATGGAAGACTTCTTGGAGGAAGCAGACTTTTATAACTGAAAATGAACTTCCTTTTGTGTCTACAATGTGTATCTGAACAGTCTGAGGCATCCTTACTTCATATATTTTGTAGAAAATTATGGGATGTAAGTTGACCACTAATTATAAATTCCTAAACAACTTGTTCTACTATTCATAAGTAAAATGATTTGAAAAAGATTTTGCCAAAGGCTGAAAATGTGAAATAATACTCAAAACCTAAAGGTAGGAAAGGTCTATATCAAGTTACTTATAACCTCAAAATTAATTGTTCTCTAATTGTGGTGAGTATCCAGGGAGCTGGGTAAAAATACAGATACAGAGGCCCACTTCAGATCTACTAAATCAGAATCTCCATGGTGGGACTTGGGGATGGGTATTTATAATTAATTCCACGGGATATGCTAATATACACTGGTTTTCATCAGCAGCATGAGGAACCTAACAGGGCATGATACACTCCAACATTAGACATATTGACAAGAAAGAGGGCATGGGATCCAAGAGTGCGCAATTAAGAGGCAAGAGACGAAAGTGCAGGCAGAAAGGCTGTCACTCATATAGAAGGTCAGAACCACGGAACTTGGCTGCAGAGCCTGGTAGGACCTGAGCAGCAACTAGGTAGGAAAATGGAAAGAGTGGAGGAAGGACTGGGATAGGGAGACTAACAGGGATCCAAGCACCGCCACTTTGGGGGTGGGAGAACACTAGATGGCAAGAGACAAAATCATAACATCCAAAAGGGTGTGACAAACCTGGGCTCTCCACTTTCCAGGCAATTCACAGCTATGCTTTTGTTGGTAAATCAAGACAAATTTCTTTCTATGTAAAGTAGCATATATATGCTATTTGTTGGTGAAAATATAAAGATTACATTGGTCAATAAACAGAAGAAATTGCATCTCTGTCCCTTAGAGTAGACCAAAGGAATATCTGAGTAGTTCTAATGAGATAACTGTGAGCCCCTATAATTCCATGTTATTAGGAAGGTCCCCAGCATGACAGACCCTTTACCAGCCTGACCAGTTTTGCTCCTTAGAGATCGCTGAGCAAATGCCTGGTGGCTTTGGCACTGTTCCCCACTGTGTCTGTGACATCACCCATTAATTTTGTGAACATCCTACAGACACATTTCATGAAATGGGCCAGGGAAAAGGAAAAGGGCAGGGGAAAGGAGCAGGTAGATAGTCCTGTGTGATGAACTTTTCTAACAATATTTCTCATTTTTCTCTGGGAAAAATAAAAGTAGCTGACTTTAAACAACCAGCTTCAGATCATTAGGGGTACCATGATCACCCCCATGGATCCTGCTGCCTTCTGAGGCAGTTTGCATAATTTGCAAAGACTTCTGTGTTTGAGGTCTTTTTCCTAATATCCTTCTGAGTCACAACAAGCAGGGTGCATTTGTGTTGACATGTCTAGGTGAGCTCTTCTGCTTGGGATTAGTCAAAACCATAAATGGCAAGTAAGGCTTGAAGAGGTGGTGAGTAGATGTGTGGGGTGTTTGTGTCATCACAGCCCTCCCGTGCCTCCCAGTCCTTCCTAACAGAGTGGCAGCAGGCAGCTCGCAGCCATTCTGCATGAACAGAGGTGGTCTGAACTACGAACCTGCCTAACTCAGCTCTAAGATCTCTCCTTGCATCTTTTAAAAAAATTATTTTAATTCAGGGAGTACATGTGCATATTTGTTCCATGGGTATATTGCATCATGGAGATCAGGCTTCTAGTACACCCATAACCCAAATATTGAATTTTGTACCCAGTAGTTAATTTTGCAACACTTACTTCCCTCCCACCTCACCCCTTCCCACTTTTGGAGTCTATTGTTTCCATCTTTATGTCCATGGGTACCCATTGTATAGTGCCTACTTCTAAGTGAGAGCATGTGATATTTGATTTTTTGCATCTGGATTAGTTCACATAGGATAATGGCCTCCAGCTCCATCCATTTTACTGCAAAGGAAATAATTTCATGTTTTGTTTTGTTTCGTTTTTGTTTTTTTAGACAGAGTTTCACTCTTATTGCCCAGGCTAGAGTGCAATGGTGCGATCTTGGCTCACTGCAACCTCTGCCTCCCAGGTTCAAGCAATTCTCCTGCCTCAGCCTCCCAAGTAGATGGGATTACAGGCGTGCGCCACCACGCCCAGCTAATTTTGTATTTTTTTTTTAGTGGAGACGGGGTTTCACCATGTTGGTCAGGCTGGTCTTGAACTCCTGACCTCAGGTAATCTGCCCACCTCAGCCTCCCAAAGTGCTTGGATTACAGGCATGAGCCACTGCACCCGGCTGATTTCATGCTTTTTTATGGCTGCGTGGTATTCTATGTGGTGTGTGTGTGTGTGTGTGTATGTGTGTGTGTATATATATATGCGTGTGTATGTGTGTGTATATATATGTTACACATATATATGTACACATATATATATGCGTGTGTGTGTACATATGTGTACACATATATATACACACACACACCACATTCCATGGCGTACACACACACACATTTTCTTTAATCAACCATCGATAGACACTTAAGTCAGTTCCATGACTTTGCTATGGGGAATAGTGCTGCAATAAACATATGTGTACAGGTGTCTTTTTTATATAATGATTTCTTTTCCTTTGGGTAGATACTCAGTAGTGGGATTGTTGGGTTGAATGGTAGTTCTATTTTTAGTTCTTTGAAATTTCTCCATACTGTTTTCCCTTGAGGTTGAACTAATTTACATTGCCCCCAATGGTGCATAAGCATCCCTTTTCTCCACAACCATGCCAACATCTGTTGTTTTTTCACTTTTTAGTAATAGCCATTCCGAGTAGTGTAAGATGATATTTCGGTGTGGTTTTCCTTTTGTCTCTTGAGCACAGGTTCTACGAGCACAGGCGGAGTTCTGTGGTGCTGAACTTACCTGGACTTGAGGTGTTCCCTGGGGACCTTCTGGTGTCAGATGGAGCTGCTGATTACCTATGCCACCCACTTCTGCTGCTGAATTCAGGTTCTGTTCATTCAGTATACTTTCATTCCATGCCCACTGTGGAACAGATATTGCCATAACTGGGGGAATTTTCAAAATATTGAATAATTAGTAGAATATAAGCACTGACCAGTTAGAATCAGCCTCACCAATGACAACAGGCACCAGCTGTTACTGGAATTTACTGGAACCACCTGAGTACCAGTCTTGGTGTTGGGCATTCCATTTACAGAGATGAATGAGGTGTGGCTCTTCCCTTAAAATGTCTTCTGGTCAAATGTCTTATCCCAGGTCCAAGACCTGAGACAGGTGTAGCATCTTAGATCAGAGTGCCCTCTCCAGGCTGGTGAGTAGCTTCCCCATTATTGCTATCATGTTCCTCTCCCACCCCACTCCTGGGCTTCAGCCTCACACTGGTATCTTCCAACCAGGGTGGTACCATGGGGAGGCAGAGGTGGCGGTGGCAGATAAGTGTCTGATAGAGAGGCAGCTTTAGGGATAAAGTTGCATCTTCATCTCATTTGTGAAATAAAAGAACAATTAGAATCTTCAGGGTGTTTTCTTCAAGATTCTTGGGATAGGTAAATCAAAGCCTTTGAGAGCTAAGAGGAGACTTAAGGATTATCCATGCTGTTGGTTTTTAAACTGGTTTGGTTCTTAGCAGAGTCCTTTTTACAAAAGAATCCTTACTTGGAAATCCAGTGTATAAAACAAATCCAGGTGAAGTTGCAATGCTCGCAGCTGGGATGAGCCCCAAAGACTCACCTCCAAAGCATCCCAGGAGCCTCGGACACCTGACAAAAGAGTTTGAAAACCAGCAGGTCATCCCTCATTCACATATGTGTGAGTGAGACCCAGAAAGGAGAAGTGGTCTAGTCATGGGATCAGCTGGTTTGTGCAGAGAAATGGAATCAAGGCTCCTGCCTGTGAGTTCAGTGCCCTGTCTACCAGCCTGCATCTGTCATCATCTGTCATCTACTGTATGGGCAACTGCAGTCTCCTGTATGTGAAGCCCAGGGCCACCAGTGAATAAATAATAACATGTTTACAGCTCTTTATTTTTACAGACTCTTTCACGTCTACTTACTGTCTTATGTGATACAATAATCCAAGTGAACAAACCAAGAGGGGTTAAGTGATCTGCTTGAGGACATGCCCCTAGAAATCCAAGCTAGTTTTAAAGACAATGTGGCTTTAACAGAGGTTAGTACATTTTAAGAGGCTTTAGAATGCTCTCAATTAGTTAACAACTAGAAGAGTGGTTCCCAAAGGCTGTCCTGGACCAGCAGCTTTGCCCTCACCTGAGAAGTTGTTAGAAATGCAGATTCCAGGCTCCCCACCCCCAAGACTTTCTGAATCAGAAACTCTGGGAGTGGTGTCCAGCAGTCTGTTAGTCCGTTTTGTTTGTTGTTGTGGTGGTGGTGGTGGTGGTTGTTTGAGACGCAGTCTCACTCTGTGACCACCACCACGCCTGGCTAATTTTTTTGTATTTTTAGTAGAGACGAGGTTTCAACATATTGGTCAGGCTGGTCTCAAACTCCTGACCTTAGGTAATCCATCCGCCGCGGCTTCCCAAGGTGCTGGGATTACAGGCTTGAGCTACCGTGCCCAGCCAGCAGTCTTTTTTAACACGCTCTGCAGGTGATTCTGATGCCAGCTACAGTTTGAGAACCACATACTAAGGAACAAGGTCATCGCTGCTTCTACATCTCACTAGCTGTTATTTTTGTGTGTGCCTAGCATCATGGTAGGTACCACACAGCATAAGATACGCAGCATCCTCTCTATACGCCTCTGCACTCTTCTCAGGAGTTTAGAATAGAGACCTCATGTTCCCAAGTCATGGGCTAACGCAGTGCTGCTCATGCTTTGCTGTGCATATGAGTCACCTGCAGATATAGTTGAAATAAAGATTCTAGTTTAGCAAAATTGTATATTTAAGACAGATAATGAAAGATTGTGGATTCAATAAAGACTCATGAATCTTCTGAATACTCACAAAGCTTTCCCAAGGCTCCAAAGCTAGAAAAGCACAGGAGAGAAATTGGCCAAGGATCAGGGACCCCAATTATGGCAGTTCAAATTGGATGTAGTAATTTACCACCAGGCATGGGAGAGCTAAGTGTGGTGAAGCTGATTTGTGCCTAAGGGAGAGTCCACCTAATCTCCCTTTAATAAAGATTGATAAGGTGGTCAAAATGAATGCGAGGATAATCTGTTGGGCAGGTACCTCCCAAGGTTTTGGTGGGAAGGTGCCTTAAGCACATCCTTTGCAGTTAATGCTGCTCAGATCATTGCTTCCCTTTGATTGAATGATTACACATCCTCTCCTGGGGGATCTGATAGAAAGAGAGATGGATGTATAAGACATCCATTTTGTATACCAAATGGTCAGAACATGCCACCTACACCTAAGAGACAATTTTCAGCTTTTGCTAGGTAGCATTACGACTTTATGCAAACAGCATAAAATCCAAAAGGCTAGAACCCAATCGAATCTCTTTCCTTCCTGCTCTTCAAAAGAATGAGGGATTGAATAATGGCCTCTTTCTCAAGTCGAAGCAACTCCTAGTTGATGGCCAGAAGCAAGAAGCCCCAACATAAAAATTGGTGATGTTTTAATGTTCTCTATTTTGGGAGTCTTCCTTTAACCACATCTGGGGATTATGAGTGAAGGCAGTTTCCAAGTCTCCCATTTGCTCAGGCTACTGAAGTTTGCATGTGGTGGGAGGGCTCTGGTAAGACAGTGTGAAAATGAAGGACCTGTCCTTTTAGCCCCAAAGTGCTCTGGTTCCCTGTCTTAAATAAATTACTCAACATCTTAGAGTACAGTTCACAGATTTCTCCTCAAGCAATGAGGAAAAGGAGTTTAAATAATACACCAGTAAAGAAACAGGACAATACCACCTTAAGGCAGCAACAGAACACCAACTTTTAGGTTGCAACATTGATTCATTCACTGTCTGCAAAAATATAAATATTCATTTTGTGCATTCTCAAGAGAAAGATAATTAAAGCAGGATGAATTCTGTTTGGCTAATTTTCAAAAAGCAGGTTTTGTGAAGCACTGCAATGATCTGTCACTAGTAACTCTAAGTACTTGTAATAATATATTGTCTTTAATTTCACCCAGAATCCAAAAAGCCAAGATGGCCTTTCTCCAAAAGAGGAGTGGTAAGTGTTTCAAATTGCCATTTTTGTTTTAATTAAGCTTCCTGTAGCTAAGAAAGTAAGAAATGGCTGAAGAGCCTCTTCATTCTGCTTTATCTTTGCATAAAGGCAGATGGCACGTGAAATATAAATGATATCATCACATCCATAGTATTGGCTACGGAACATGCCAAGGGTTGCCAATTTGTGCAGCGAAACAGTGCTAATTGCCAGTGGTTAATTAGCTCTGGAAAAAAAAAAAAACACACAAAGCAATCCTAATATAGTGATGCTTTACAACTCTACATTTATAGCTTGCTGCTTAGAAAGCAGCTCACTCGATGAAGCAAACTTGCACAAATGTATGCCCCAGTTTGCAGTTAGTGCCATGTATATTGGGCACATTGAAAAATGAATGAGATCTTACAGAAACAGATTCCGCAAATACACTTCTATTTCTGGGAAAGTCGACTGGATTAATCCTAGTGGGTTTGAATTCATTCTTGGTTCCATCAATAATTGATGAGTTATCCATCTCAATCAGCGGTCCCTGAGACTTTACTGCCTAGGGCAAGGGTGGCCACAGTCAAGCCGTTCCTTCTGGCATGCTGTGGGAAGAGGGAGGGAATGTTCATGATGACAACCGGACTCCTCCTGTTTTCTAGGGGGAGGAAAGGGACTGATTTGTGTTCTCCCAGCAGTACTAGTTGCATGACTTACACACCACAACCAGCAGCAGCGGGGCCTTATGGACTGTTACTATGCCTCATTCTGTTAAAAATCTGCCCACATGGCCTTGCCAATCACTTTGGCATCAGTTGCTGACATCTGCAGTGGTTCTATGACACACACACCTTGCAATTTTTTAAGTCCCATCACTAAATAAAAAGTCCTCTGAAGTTCCAATTCTAGCTCCTTCCCCTACTGCCCTATGACCTTGGCCAAATGGATTACTCTCCCTCAGCTCAGATCTTCCCTGTAAAAGACAGAAGACCAGTGCCAGCCTCACAGGGTGGTTGTAATGAATGCCTTATAATGCATGTGGCGCCTACCCCAGAGCCGGGCACACACAGACACTCAGTCAATCTTGGCCGTATCACTAGTAGTAGTATCTTTAATTAGGGTTTGGAAAACGACTTATTCTCATAGCCAAGTGTATGATTGACTTTCACTTTTTTTCCCAAAAATAAAACGTTTATATGGAACATACTCTTAAACATTATGAGCTGCAAATCATAAATTGTTAGTAAAATTGTAACACTATTGCCACCAAGGCTGTTGCTCATCAGTCATTTAGAGATATGCTTTGTCTGTTTTCTGACAGGTCTGAGACAAGGCTTATGACGCAGCCCCTCCTGAGCTCTTTCCTCAAATAAACAGAGGCAGAGCTGGTCACCAATCACACCTGAGATCTCAGGAGAAGGGGCATCTCCCCTGAGCCCTCCCGAGGGCCTATCCAGGACAGGGAAGCTCTGAGGGCTGCCTGAGAGATAGAATATGCTTTTGGAAGGGAAGAAATTGGTTAAGGAAGGGCACTCCTACAAGTTGTTGGGATTGATCCATTCTTTTCCCCCACAAAGAAGCAACTTATTCTCCACACATGTGTTGAGCAACTGTGCCAAGTACTGGGACAGATATCTAAGATGCCAAGATGCCCATTATCAGCTCACAATTGAGAAGATGGGACTGACAAACTGTGGGTGGTGGGGGAAAACATGCTAAATGGTTGGCACTGTGTTGGAGGGAGGGAGGCAATGAGGGAGATACACAAAGGAAGAATAATTGGTGGACGTTCTCAGCAAATGTTTTCAGCAATGAAGAGAAAGTCATTTCTAGAAGCTTCACTTTCACAAGAACACAATATCTTGTTTTCTTAAAATTAACATTGTTTCCTTTATCCTCTTATCCTTATTTATCACGTAATTCATATCTCTATAAATGATAATCCACATCAATATAACAAACACACTTCTATGTTGTGATGTGTTTTTCCAGTCTATTACAGATTTTTCCTTTTCCTCCTTTCTTCCTTCCTTTCCTCCTTCCTTTCTTCCCATCAGTTTAATATTAGTAATAAAAGCGAACACATCTATAACGTTTAACACATTAGCAGGCACTGTTACTGTTTACCTGTATTCTTGTTTATGCATGTCAGTTAACACATGTGAACTCATAAATTCTACAACAATCCAACAAGTAGCTAACATTATTACTTCTCATTTTGAAAATGGGGAAATGGATTCAGAGAGGTCGACTAGTTTGCCTGAGGACACACAGCTCATAAGCTATGGAGCATCCAGCGTTCCAGGGAGTCTGGCTTTGAGTCTGTTCTAGCCCTGTGTGGCCCTGCTCCTTCAACTGTAGGAGTCCCCATCACCAGACGTGGAAACTCCTCCATCCATTCTCTCATTAGAGCTCTCATAGATCTTACCTGTTCTCATTGATTTGTCAATCACTCCAAAAATGTGTATATTCAGTCTTAACCTTCAATTTTGCTCCAGTTCCACGTCACCAGTGACTACTGCACATCTTCATGCCACCTACCTCTTAGTTACTAAGTTTGAGACTCCAGAATTAACCTTGGCATCTCACTTTTCTTTACCCTGTGTATTCTCTCAAGTAACCTTCAAATGCTTTTCATTGCCTCTCCTAACCACTGCTACCACAATGGAGGCAAGAAGGTACTAAATGGGCGTGTCATTTTCAAGAGTTAATGTGACCACTGGGAGAACGGTCTCCTCTCTTCTCACTGGAATACCCACCCAGACATTTGGCCAGGAGGCTGGTCAAACCCATAGAAAGCCATGGTGAGTGCCCTTCAAAACACGGGGCTGGCACCCACTTTCCCACAACTCCAATGCTCCTTCCATTGTCTCAGCCTCTTTCTTTTCCAACTGGCTGCTGATTTTTTATTTCCACAACATGCAGTCGCTATGGTTTCAGACATCAACAAAAGGCATATGTCCCAATTGCAGTAAGAGGTCTTTAACTGGTTCCAAGATTCCGTTGCTGCTGTGGAGGCTAATGAGTCTACAATAGGTTTCCTTTTTCAGTGCCATAACCCTACCAGAGAAACCAGTCACAACCCATTAGCACATTCTGAAACTATGACAGGGTCTCTTTTCAGACGCGCAGGGAGCCCCCTACCTGCAACGGTAGATAACCTGTGCCTTTCTTGCTCATGAAAACAACACCGATTAACTTTCACCAAACTGTTTAGATCCATGCCAATATCGTGCACCCTGAGGCAACAGAACAAGTCGAAAAATTGTTTGTCCTAAGCATTCACTTGAAATGCAGCCAAGCTGACTTTTAAAAGCCTTGCACATTGTTATTTGATAGCTTCTTCTTGCTGTGGTTGGTAAAATGAACTCTTTAAGTGGGCAATTCATGATATTGCAATAGAATAGTGAATGAACCAAAAAGAAAATGCTCACAATATAAGTTTAAAAAGCAAGTTGCAAAAGGATGTGTGAATATGATACATGGTACCATTTAAAAATTAATTATTAATGTGATCAGAATATGATATTTCCAATGGGTATGTGAGGGTGAAGACACATTTCATGGTTTTTTTTGTTGTTGTTTGTTTCTCAAGTTTTCTACAATAAACATATTTTATCTTAGCAATCAGATTTTTAAAACAAATATTATTAAGAAAAAATGACTATAACAAAAGTAATGGGTGATTCCATTCTAAGGAAAGTAGAGTTTCCAGCATGTTCTGGTATTCTGTAGCAGAGAATTATTTTTTGGGACAAGTTGCTTTAACACTGGGCTTTATTTTGTCATCTGCTAAAATAAGGGTTGAACCAATATGTCTGAGGTACCTTCTGATGTTAATTAAATCTTAGGGTCCAGAGTTTGGAAAAGTTAAAACTGTAAAGGCTATGTCACCCCAATGGGTAGGCATGATAAGACTGTTTGCTGTATGACCATTCTGTGCCTAGGATTTGTTTTAATGTGTAAAATGAGAGGTTTGGACAAGGTATTCTCACGGGCCTGTGGCCCTCAGGTCTGACCTTCTGTGGTTCTGTGGCTCCTACTAGAGCTCAGAAATGGCTTTGAAACTGCTTAAAGACAAAATATGTCATGTCTTATCATGAGTGTTAGGGAATGAACAAAAGATACCAAGGCTACTGAAGTCATGTCATTAAAGAATCCATGTTTGAAAATCCTGTTTCTAACCATCTTTAAACAGGGCAAAGACAAACACAAGCACACATCTGACCTGGAAAACTGCCTGTCCTCTGTGAAAATTACCAACTTCAGGGGCTATGACTTCTACAGTCTGAAGGTATCTTTCCAACTGTTTCCTGTGGGGCATGGCTTTTTCTTTTTGTTTTTTGGTGGGGTGGGGAGAGGAGGGTCAGTGTTTTAAGCTGCCAGATTACTGCCTTGTTTACAGTAAGAGCAAAATGCAAGAGAGGAACCCAGGACTGAACAGGGCCTGCTCTTCTCCAACACACTGAAAGCTGGGGAAAGCCATTTTATCTTAAATAAGGTAACAAATGTGAGAGCACTTCATAGGCCAGAAAGCCTCTACAAATGTTAAAAGTGGTCGTTACTACTCTTCATCTCTCTGGACCTGGATTTCCTCATTGGAAACCTTAAGTTGTTTTTGATAAGACGATTTCTAAAGGTCTCCCTGAGCTTTAAAATTCTCACTTCATGCTTCTTCAGTAGTTAATTTCAATAAGTGTTGCCAGTGGAACCTGGAATCAGACTTCCCAGTCCTGGGTTTGGGGTTCTTTGAGTTTTTATGTCAATAAACTGAAAAAGACTCATGATATTCTCAAGCTTAATTCAAAGCATCATCGATTTGAATTGATTTGAATCTTAAACTAGAAATAATGCACAGTGTGCATTTCATGCTGCATATTAGGAGGAATTGGCATCCCAGAGCCCCACAGAGAAAGCGATGGCTTGGGTCCCTTGGGGAGTCACTGTCAAGAGGGATGTCCAGGGCCTGAAGCAGGAAATCATTCTAGGGGTTGCTTGGCCCTTTGGAACTGCAAGCCAAAGCAAATAGCCAACAGGTCAATCCACTGTGGTGGAAATGTTTTGTTCTCTCTTTTTCCTCATGTACAGGATAAGACCTGGGATGAAGTCGTGGAAACACATCACAAACTCCTGAACAATCAATTAGACTTGAGAAAGCAGCAAGAGGCCGTGTGGGAACTTTTCACAAGTGAATGCACCTATTTTTTGGACCATTTATTAGTTCTTAAGATGGTAATGCCAGGCTTAATTTTGTAGTAGATGGAAAATTTGTTTCTTTGGGCGCTTGTTTTCCTCTTCTGAAAGAAATAAAAGAGAGAGAGAGAGAAGAAAGAGAAAGAAAGGAAAGAGAGAGAGAGAAAGGAAGGAAGGAAGCAAGGAAGGAAGGAAGGAAGGAAGGAAAAGAGAGAGGGAAAGGGAGGCGAGGTGAGGTTTTTTTCTCCCTCTTTCAGGGGATCGTGAAAATTTTTATTTGTCATTTATTTTTGTTTACCTATTACTCTACTGTCTTTTTATACTTTAACATTGGATGAGATCTTCTTAGTGAACTAGTCCAGTGTCCCATTCGATGTTGAATGAATCTCTTCTGCCTTGTCTCACCAGTTTGCACACTCCTGGGCCAGGGAGCTCACACCCTTCTCAGGCAGTCCATTCCATCTTTCCTTGGCTTCCTTTCTTGGAGCTCTTGCTCCCTAGTGAACAGTGCCAGGTGAATGCTTTTCATCAGCTGCAGGGCCACCATTGCAGATATCGGGGGCTACCATACACATGCAATTTAGTACCGTTGAATTGCATGGTATATTCATGATGTCTCCTATGTAAATAGCACCTGTATGGTTACACACTGCTGCAGCTATGCTCTGGTGAGGCTCAGAACAGAGAATTTTTTTATAGAAGAACAATAGAGCAAGGAAGAGAACCATAGAGCAGCTTCCTGCCAGGACCACAGGGGAGGATGGGCCACACAGCTCCCAACGTTGCCTCTGCCCACAGTACTTTTGCATCCTGATGACTGTCTTACACAGCTAAAAGGCACTGTGCTGGCAGACCTAAGTTCAAGCCCTGGCTCTGCCTCTGATTTGCCTTGTGACCTTAGGAAAGTGTAGTCCTTCATATCCTAAACCAGGGGTTGACAAATCTTTTCTGCAAAGGTGCAGATAGTAAATATTTTGGGCTTTTCAGGCTATATAGTTTTTGTTGCAACCACTTAACTCTGCCATTGCAGTGCCAAAGCAGTCTACAGGACTGTGCCTGACTGTGTCACCCAGAAAACATCATTTACAAAAACAGGTGGCAGGCCAAATTAAGCTCACAGGCTGCATAGTTTGACAGTCCCTGTCCTAAGCTATAAAAGAGAAATGACAGTACCATCTCTGGCTATCTCATAAGACCATTATGATGATCAAATTAGTTTTCTTTGAAATCTATCAAGTGCTATACAAACGTCAGTTATTTTCTGTAAGTAATATTTTTTGTCAATCACAGTGCTAAATCCTTAACTTAGCAAAATGTAAACCACAAAGACACTCTAGGAGAAAATTGAAATTTAGAGACAATGTCAGTTAGGATGCTTACAAGAGCATGTAATAGAAAACTAGCTTAAATAATGCAGTATTTTGTTAGTCCTTGTGACTGCCAAGTTCAGAGGTGGGAGAGAATTCAAGACATGTTTGATCAAGGGGCTCAAAACAAAACAAAAAACATTTCTTTCCATCTCTCACCCTGCCTTCCATGGCATTAGCCACATCCTATGGCTGGCTTCTCTTGTAGTCACAGCATGGTTGCTATCCTTGAGCTAATGGCCAGAGAGAGAGAGAGAGAGAGAGAGAGAGAGAGAGATCGTCTCAGCATTCATAGCAAAAGTCTTGAGATTTATTCCGATTGGACTGGTTTAGATCACATGCCCACCGTGAGCCAAATCCACTAGCTCCGTAAGGAAGGAATGTGCCAATTGGCTTAAGGCAGTCAAGACCCAACCTTGGGAGTGAGATCAGCTTGCCATATGGCAGCTGCCTGGGGAAGAGTAGACACTGGGGTGAAAACCAGGCTGTTTTTAGGGAAGAGGAGTATTGCAGGGGGTGGTAATGATAAATGTTCACTGCAGAGAACTAAGCCCCTGAGCTATGCCACCTTCCTTGTCCTAAGAAACAGCACAGAATTTTCTGTCCCACTGTAAACTGTCCAAGCTTTTCAAAATAATATTTCCTGTTTAAGAAAAGGCCAATTTGAGCTCACTGTCAAATACCTCAGTGTATTTAAAGAATATATGTACCTTCCTTTTACACAATCAATATGTTTTCCAAAAACGCTTATGAGTTAAAAATTTGTAACTCATATAATAAATATACCGGAGGATTCAGCATTTTTTTTAAATAGTAAAATTTCTGTAAAGCAAAGAATCTTATAACAATAGTAGTATTTCTTCCAAATTGTCCCAATCTATCTGTAGTAATGAGTTCTGTTTCTTACAATCATGTTTTAAATGCCTGGATATTGACAGATTTCCAGACAACCAATACTCCATGGATTTTAAAAGATCTAAGTGGTTCTTGACAGGTGGCCTCTAGACCAGCAGCATCAGAATCCCTTGGGGACTTGTTGGAAATGCGCGTTCTCAGACCCCATCACAGATGAGGGTGGGGTCCAGCAAGCTCTGGTGTAACAAAGCTGCCGGGTGATTCTGACGCAAGTTCAAGAACCACTCACTACACTAATGAAATAATACAGGAATGGGAATTGGAGAAGGTTACCTATCTAAAGCCCGGTCTTTTAACCCCTAAAATTCTTGAAGTAATTTGTCCTTTTGTCAAAGTATTTCTTTTTCAATAAACTGCTCTCTCTTCAGTTCATAGAATGAAGGGCAAGCTAGTTGTAAGTGAGGATTGTACTTCTTTTTTTTTTATTTTTATTTTTTGACTTGCTGTGTAGTTCTCCAGTTTGTGAAATCATCAGATTAAGTAAAAATAACATAAAAACTCCCTTAATGGTTTCATCCATGTTTAATGCCTCTAAACAAACTGAAACATTTGACCAGTTATCAGAGATTAACTCACTAAATCTCTACTTTTAATTCCCTGAAAGGAAAGTATATTTGGGTCTTTTGCAGAAGAAAGCATATGAGAACACACCACGAATATCGTTTTGCTCTCAAGTTAGTAGTGTTGGCAAGAAGAGAACCTTTGGGATTTCTTTGGCACTAGAAGCAGAGGAAGCCCATTTGGACAGATTCTGTTCAATAGGAATGTTGTTAGAATTGACTTAAGCAACCACAACTTTCATACTGAAAAGCTCATTTCCAATATGTTCTGTGAAGCTTAAATGTGATCATTTGTCTTGAGTATAGCATTTAAACCTTGAGAGTGCTGATTTCTCCATTGTTTTGTAAAGTTATACCCAGGAGGTTTATGTTTAATGTTCTTGCAAAAGGTATGTTTCAAAATTAAAAAATAGAAATTAATGTGCATATATTTTTTATTTCAAAGATCTTTATGAATACACTAAAATATCTGCAAACTCATGAATATCTCCTAGATGTGGATTTATGGAGACTTTTTGCAAACCTGGAGGAGTTAACTCAGGTGAGCCAAGTAGGAAGATTTTAGTAGTCATGTTTTAACATTCACTAGAAGATCTCGAAAATTCATGCTTGGTCTGTTCTTATGGCTTGTATTCCATAATACATCTCCATATGCCATTCCCAGTCAGGACTTCAGGTTAATAAGAAAGAAGTTGAAATATCCATTGATGCCTTTCCCATAAATTGTAGATATTAGTTACCCTTTATTTGTCATTTTTCCATGGCTATTTTAAAAAGTAAACACATTCCTAAGATCTCCATCATCTTCATAAATGTTTATTTTCAACTGAATGTCCTCTTCTCACATATATTATAAACAAATAATATTTTTCCTCTTAAAAGGAAAGAAAGAGAGACAACAACAAGAATTTATTTATAAGAAATATTTATAAGAAAATACGTATTGGAGAGTGGAAAAAAATAAATCTTTGAATTTTGCTAGGAGATAAATTTGAAATGGGAAATGTGTAAGAATGATACTTGAAGTTCAACAAATGTTTATTCCTTAACCCTGGGTGTGTGCCTACTTTTGCTTTCTTTTTCTCTGTCCCTAGACAAGCCTTGGTTTTGTGAACAGTCTCTTTGGCATCATCAAGGACTATGTAGACGCTTCTGAGATTTCCTCATCACTGGATTTTATTTCCGTACTCACAAAGGTAAACTCCTTCCGGGAGATCTCAGCTTCATAAAGCAGCATTACCCACCTCCCAAGACAGTTGTTTATACCCTACTTGATTTTTCTTCTCCCTGGGAAAGTTCTACCTCCACCCCCTACAAAGGAACTGTCCCTTTCTCTACCAATCAACATTTTCAAAAATAACTTCCAGATTCTGTTTTCCCATTGTCACATCTCCTATGTAGGTTTTATTAACACAAAAATCTGCATGCATGGAAAAGCCATTTCCAAGTCTGTTTTTTAAATTACTTCAATTTAAAGCAATATTCATGGCAATAGTTTAGTGTCTGCTAATTACATGATTCAGTTGTTTTAACGAAAGTACCAATTTCTCAGAAAGAAACAGAATAATCCTTCAAATTCATCAACACCCTTGATCATATTTCTGTGGGTGAAATGAGGAGAAAAGAGGAAAACCTGTGCCCTGGGTTTGATAAGTGCTATTTATTTCTTGAGTAGACATTTGGACATCCTCCCCTACTTTTCTTTCTTTGAGATTTTTAATCTAATTTCATTTAGCAAAATCTGAATTTTTAAACTCCACTTTTTAAGAAAAAAAGACAGATTGAGATTTATTGAGAACTTACTAAGTGCTATATATGGAGCCAATACCCTGTATACAATAATGTGAAAAATTAAACAAGCTCCTTGCTTTTAAGGAATTTTAAGTTGGCTGGGTGCGGTGGCTCACGCCTGTAATCCCAACACTTTAGGAGGCCGAGGTGGATGGATCACGAGGTCAGGAGATTTGAGATCATCCTGGCTAACACAGTGAAACCCCATCTCTACTAAAAATACAAAAAATTAGCCGGGCATGGTGGCGGGCGCCTGTAGTCCCAGCTACTTGGGAGGCTGAGGCAGGAGAATGGCATGAACCCAGGAGGCGGAAGAGCTTACAGTGAGCCGAGATCTCCCCACTGCACTCCAGCCTGGGCGACAGAGCGAGACTCTGCCTCAAAAAAAAAAAAAAAGAAAGAAAGAAATTTTAAGTCTTGTGGGGGAGAAATTAATCCAATAATGACACTAATGATTATATAATCAAAGTAAGATAAATGCTGGGGAAAAGAAGGAACATAAATATCATGAGTGTCCAACAAAGGAAACCTTGTAAGTTGGGAAGCATAGTAGGGCAGTCACAGATAGGAAATGCTTCCTGGGGATATGACACTTGAGAAGATACATGAAGAAGGAAGAGTTTTAACAAGGCAAAAATAAGCGGGAAGATCCTTTAGTGAACATTGAAAATGGGTTGAAATAAGAAGATCTTTGGACGTTTTGTTTGTTGTTTAGTTGTTTTTTTATTTACTTTTTTTAGACAGCCTCTCTGTTGCCCAGGTTGGAATGCAGTAGTGCGACTTCAGCTCACTGCCACCTCCGCCTCCCAGGTTCAAGCAATTCTCATGCCTCAGTCTCGCAAGTAACTAGTATTAAAAGCATGCACCACCACACCCAGCTAATTTTTGTATTTATCAAGTCAATGAGATAGAAACTGAGGCTTAGAGAAGTTAGATAATTTGGCTGACATCACAGAGCCAATGGGTGGTAGAACTGGATATCTAAGCCTGACCATTAATGACTCTGTTTTTCTTTTTTTTGGAGGGGAGGGTGGACAGAGTCTTGCCCTGTCACCCAGGCTGGAGTGCGGTGGCCCAATCTCGGCTCACTGCAACCTCTGCCTCCTAGGTTCAAGCAATTCTCCTGCCTCAGCCCCCTGAGTAGCTGGGACCAGAGGTGTGCGCCACCATGCCCAGCTTATTTTTGTATTCTTAGTAGAAACAGGGTTTCATCATGTTGGCCAGGCTGCTCTCGAACTCCTGACCTCAGATGATCCACCCACCTCGGTCTCCCAAATTGCTGGGATTACACGTGCGAGTCACCACGTGCAGCCCCATTAGTGAGTCTTAATCCTGGCTTCTAACCAGTTACCTCCTGGTTCCAACATTTCTCAAGCATCTCAGTGCCTCATGAGAAGACCCTCCCTTTACCTCCAAGTTCTCTTCAAGGCCCAGCTATCAACATTCCCCTCCAAAATAAACTCACATCATCTTTCAAATTACTTCTTGCTGAAGCCAAAACTTGACATTGCTCCCTATAGAGTTTTGTCTTCTAAGGTCCTATAACAAAATACTTTTCTAGGTTTCGCCATCTCTGGCTTTGTTACTGTCACTTCTGTTAGTGGTTTTTCAGGCTGGGTCTGCCTTCTCTACACACCAGCAGGTGTGCTTTCTTTCTCCAGTTCACCACATTGGGATACTACTGGAAATTCCTTAATGCAGCCCATGAGTCATTATATTATCAATAAACCTGTCAATGGACACATAGGCTTAACAACATGGTAGACACTATGATGGAATCCTGAAGAGAGTGCCTGCCAGTAACGAGCCAGAAGAATTGCTGAAGAGAAAAAGAATAACCATCATTCCCAAGAAAGACGCTTAACTGAGATGGTGGCATGTAGTTCAGTGTGCTCCGTTTACCCATTATATGTATGAATATATATATATATATATATATATATATATATATATATATATATAAAATTGCCTTATTCTAAAAACAGTTTTAGGTGGCTTACAAATGTGTAGTCATTATAGCAAGTTTAAGACATTAAATAAAAATAATGAAGAAAAGGGAAGACAAGTATTAGACTGAGTAAGATAAGATGCATGCTACTAGATAGAGTACGCTGAGTAGAGATGTCCCAGATTTCCTTTTTTTGGAAATGGAGTCTCCTTCTGTCACTCAGGCTGGAATGCAATGGTGCGATCTCGGCTCACTGCAACTTCCACCTCCTGGGTTCAAGCGATTCTCCTGCCTCAGCCTCCCAAATAGCTGGAACTACAGGCACGTGCTGCCAGGCCCAGCTAATTTTTTGTATTTTTTAGTAGAGACAGCGTTTCAACGTGTTGCCCAGGCTAGTCTTGAACTCCTGAGCTCAGACAATCCGCCTGCTTCGCCTCTCAAAGTGCTAGGATTACAGGCGTGAGCCTCTGCGCCCAGCCAAGATGTCCAAAATGTCTACATGTTTAGAAGCCAGCAAAATTAAATGCATGGAAATTCTTGAGGCATATCAGATGAAAAGTCAAGTGTCCTTACTTTAATCACTTAGTATCAACACAAACTTAACATCAACCAACAGGGTCACCCAAATCAAAGGCAATATTTGTTACTGGGTGTCCTGCAGGATGTGGTACCTGAAGAAACCTTAAACAGAAGTGAAGGGGTGAATTAAATCAAGACAGCCTAAATAGAATTTTCTTTAAGTATAGGGAGAAAAAGACTATTTATTGAGGTGTCAGCTGTTTATTATGAGAGTACCATATTTTGTTAAAATAATGTTTATTTGGAGATTACCTGTGTATTTCCACGCAGCTGTAGTGCCTGCTTGATCATGGCACCTCCTCCAGTTTTCCCTAGTTAATGATAAAAGTGAAGAGAAATAGTCTGTCAGGGCTCAATGCTCTCCTTCACTTGTGTTCATCCTCCTTCTGCTCTTCCTTTCTTGCAGTATTTCCGAGGGAGTCTCTGTCAGAGCCACCAGACCTACTGCCTGAACTATTCAGCTGCTATCTTTTATCTTGAGAGCCTGAGGCAGAGAGACGACTTTGGAATTTATTTAAAAGTAAAGTATCATTTTCTTTTCTTTCATATTTTTTCTGGTGCTTTTTGGGTGTCATGTGTACCGGGAATGATTGTATTTAAATTAAATGGGAAGAAGAAAACAAAATGATCAACACTATGTTTTAACTATAAATCTGCTTTCCTCATAAATACATTGTCCACTGCACACTTAGGAATATTAAATGGTGCACATCTGGAAACATTATGTTATCTAATATCCCTCCTGAGATTTTGGCTGGGGCTTAAAAATGTTTTCTTTGTTCATTATTTTATTTGCGGTAGAAATTGGTACATTGTAAGGAGAAACTATAGTAAGAACCTGAGCTTTGTGACTTAGAAGTCTGCCTCTTGCAGGAGTTAGTTCCAGGACAGAAACTTATGGCATCATTTACACTGTATTCTACATCAGTGCTGCCCCCTTGATTAGAGTATAAAGCACAGTGTCAATGTTGCCTCCGGAGTTGCGCTAATATGGCAGCTCTGGGTCCCACAGCATTAAAAGAAATTTCTGCAGGGGGCCTTCAGCATTTTCTAGTAGCCAAGCCTAAAACCAATTTCCCCTGACTTCCCTAATCCTGTTGGTCCCTGCCTTGATATTTCTTTAGTCTGAACTGGACCTTTTCAGTCCTGTGCCAGAGCCCTTTTGGATCATACAGAGAAAATGGTCCAAGCCTTTCCAGAAAATCAGCTCTTCCCTGCAGCTGCAAGAAGCCCCTGCCAGAGCATGACCTCAGAGGCTTGGGAGGAAAGGCTCCCATGGTTCCCAATGACTCAGCTGTGAATCAGTGGGCTTCTGCCACGGCCTTGATATGCCAGGAAGCCTGAGTGTGCCAAGGATGAGAAAAGGGGAATAATCTTGGGGAAGGGACTTGGCTATATTTTTGTAGCTTCAGATCTTTAATGTTTCATTTGCTACCCAAACTGAAAACTGATAGCTCATTAGATTTCCAAATGCATGAATAATCATTTTGTGAATGTTTCCCCTAGAAGCTGATGGATGAGACTCTTAGGTAGGCCCCCAAACTGGGAGAATCCAGGTTCCTTTCTCTCCCTTCCAAGCTGAGAAAGAGATTAATTTAACAAGGTCCAATTATTGTTTTCAAATAACTTTGGAAAATCCTATATACATGTATTCAAAGCCAAATGATTTTTGACAAAGGCACCAAAAACATACATTGGAGAAACAACACTGTCTTGAGTAAATAGCGCTTGGAAAACTGATATCTCCATGCAGAAGAATGAAAGTAGACCCCATCTCTCACCATATCTAAAAATCAAATGAAAATGAATTATAAGGCCTGAAACTATAAAACTGGTGGAAGAAAACATAAAAGAAGCACTAGAGGACATTGGTCTACACAAATATTTTAGGGTTAAGACTTCAAAAGCATAGGCAACAAAAACAAAAATAGACAAATGAGACTGTGTTAAACCAAACGGCTCCTGCACGGCAGAGGAAACAACAGAGTAAAGAGGCAATCTGCAGAATGGGAGAAAATATTTGCAAACTATTCATTTGACAGGGAACTAATACCTAGAATATACGAGGAGCTCGAAGATCAAAAAAATAAATCCCATTACAAAGTGAGAAAAGAATCTGAACTGACATTTCCCAAAATGAAACATACAAATAGCCAACAGATTGAAAAAAGAAAAGTATCTCAACATCACTAATCATCAAGGAAATGCAAATCAAAACCACAATGAGATCATCTTACTGCAGTTAAAATGGCTACTATTTAAAAAAGATAAAATAAAATAACAGATGCTGGCAAGGATACAGAGAAAAGGGAACTTTTGTACACTGTTGGTGGGTATGTAAATTAGTGCAGTTGTTATAGCAAACAAAATGGAGGTTTCTCAGAAAACTAAAAAGAAAACTACCATCGATCGAGTAATCCCACCACTAGGTGCTTAGGCAAAAGAAAGAAATCAGTGTATCAAAGGGATACCTGCTCCCCCATGCTTATTGCAGCGCTATTCACAATAGCCAAGACAAAGAATCAATCTAGTGTTCATCAACAGATGATTAGATTTAAAAAAATTATATATATATATGCAATGGAATATTATTCAACCAGAAAAAAGAATGCAATCTTGTCATTTACGGATGAAACTGGAGGTCATTAAGTGAAATAAGCCAGGCACAGAAAGACAGATATTGCATGTTCTCATTCATATGTGGGAGCTAAAAAATGTTAGTCGCATGGAGATAGAGAGTAGGATGATGGTTACCAGAGTCTGGGAAGTGGGGAGAAGGGGATAAAGAGAGGTTGGTTAATGGGTGCAAATATACAGTTATAGAAGGAATAAGTTCTAGTGCCTGATAACCCACTGGGGTGACTATAGTTGACAATAATTTATTGTGTGTTTCAAAATAGCTAGAAGATTTGAAATGTTGTCAACATGAAGAAATGATGTTAATAAATGTGGTTAAGGATATCCTAAATACCCTGATGTGTACATTGTACACATGTATCAAAATATCATATGTGCCCCATACATATGTATAATTGTGTATGAATAAAAATGTATGTGGCATCCAAAGATATTTTGGGAAAGGTAGTAGGTAGAGAATACAGTGCTGTTATAACACATGATGCTTTTTTTTTTTTTTTTTTTTTGAGACAGAATTTTGCTTCGTCACCTAGACTGGAATGCAGTGGCATAATCTCAGCTCACTGCAAACTCCATCTCCCGGGTTCAAGTGATTCTCTTGCCTCAGCCTCCCAAGTAGCTGGAACTACAGGTGCCTGCCACCATGCCTGGCAAATTTTTTGTATTTTCAGTAGAGACAGAGTTTCACTATGTTGGCCAGGCTGGTCTCGAACTCCTGACCTCAAGTGATCCAACTGCCTCAGCCTCCCACAGTGCTGGGATTATAGGCGTGAGCCACCACACCCAGCCACGTGATGCTTTTATAATGCATAATACTTTACCAGACACTTTCTCAAACATCTCTTAATTCTGAACACAAACCTGTAAAGTTGATTACATTGTTCCTTTGTGTCCCCGAGTCTCAGAGAGGTTAGATGACATTTGCAAGGCCACATAACCAATACGTGGCAAAGAAAGAACCATAGAAAGATTTTCAGGCAAAAAATCCAGTGCTCTTCATATCAGAACTATTTCCAGTTCCTTGGGGCTATTTCCCATCACCGTGGAACTATTAGCCTCATGAAACAAAGGTGAGAGGTCAGGGAGAGACTCACAGATACTCATGGTGACTAGTGTTTGAGCCCTTGCTATGGTCTAGACACTGGCTACATGCTGGTCATCCACCATCTTCTTATCTACACACTAACTGCAGAATTTGATATTGTCCCCGTTTTTCAGGAGTTTAGACAAATTAGGCAACATGCTGAAAGGTATGGTTGTTCTAGGGCAGAGGTAGGATTTGAATTCAGACATGTCTGAACCCAGTGTTGAATCTCCTACAATGTTCTGTTGGAAAACAACGTTCTTGGAGAATGTAAACCTATGCCATGTGATGGGCTGCCTGAAACTGACCTATAAATGCAGTGATAAATGACCTCTAAACCCTCCATACCACATGAGGCTAAGCTTTATGAATGTATGTACTTTATCCTGGTGCACATTAATGGGATTAGAATTCTTCCTACTGTTTGTTTTTTAATTTATTTACTTATTTATTTATTTATTGAGACAAGGTCTGACTCTGTCACCCAGGCTAGAGTGTAGTGGTACAATCACAGCTCACTGCAGCCTCAGACTCCTGGGCTCAGGTGACCCTCACACCTCAGCCTCCCATGTAGCTGAGACTACACACACGTGCCACCACGCCTGGCAAATTTTCTAATTTTTTATAGATACTGGATCTCGCTATGTTGCCCAGCTTATCTCAAACTCCTAAGCTCAAGCAATCCTCCTGCTTACTATTTTAGAAACAAAACAATGCAGAGGAAGAAACTGGGAACTTCATACCAAGTCTCTTCGTGTGGCGCAACTAACAATGGCTAAGAACACTAGCTGCTATGGACTGAGTGTTTGAGATGTGCCACACTCTGTTTTAAGCACTTTGTGTGGATTATCTCATTAAAACCTCTCGCCATCCCAATCAGGTAGTTACTCTTGTTATCTACATTTTACTGATAAATTTTAGAAAGGGTAAGTAAATTTCCCGAGGTTCCAATAATTCTGGTTGCCCCATCCTAATGCTGCATCCCACTAAGACAGATTTATTAGGACTTTTTATTTTATTTTATTTTATTTTATTTTATTTTATTTATTTTTTGGAACAGGGTCTCACTCTGTCACCCAGGATGGAATGCAGTGGCACCATCATGGCTCACTGCAGCCTCAACCTCCCACGCTGAAGCGACGGGACATATTTTCGTTTTGGGTCCTTGAATCCTTTCACAGTTCCCCTAAGCACATTGGATATTTATTATAAAGCAAAAGTAGCTTCCATTGACCTAGACTCATCAATAAAAAAGGCCTTTTATGTCCAATCTCTCTCAATGAAGTGTTATTTGCCTTCCCTAACGGACCTGAAAAATAAAGTCAATAGAGAGATGAAAGGAAAACTTACAACTTCACTTTTATAATGTCAAGCCATTCTTTTTCTCTCTTCTGAAGTTTCCTGAAACACAAATGCTTCCAACATCCCTGCCTGGATCCTTGTCTAAATTATTTACCACAGATGCTTCTTGCCAGTTTTTACCTGGAGGAGTTTGGTGTTTTCACTTTGACCCTGAATACCAGTGCATGCTGGCAGCCACAACTGTTTCCCACAGCAGGGCAATTTGGGGCAGTGGCCTGGGGTGGTGAGTTTTTTGGGAGGGCAGGGGCCTAACTGCTGCTGAGAAATCAGTTACAAGGATTCCCAGGCACCCAAGAGGTCCAGGACCCAAAGGTATCATTGGAACAATGCTGCCCCTGAGTCAACATGGAAATCAGCCACTAAAGCACAGCCCTGCTCCCCCCAGCTCCCAGCCTTCCTTCATCTGTCATGCTCACTTCTGTCCCCATCCCTGCCAACCTCAATGAGAACCACAGTCATTTGGAGCTGGAGGAGAACTTGAAGATCATCTAGCCAAGAGCCATCTAGCCAGACTGGAGTCTGAGGTTGCAGTCAGTCATGATTGCACCACTGCACTTAGCCTGGGTGACAGAGTCAGACTGACCCTGTCTCAATAAATAAATAATAAATAAAAATAAAACAGTTTGAAGAATTCTAATCCCATTAATGTGCACCAGGATAAAGTACATACATTCATAAAGCTTAGCCTTAAGGGTAAATTTACCCCACTGCATTTGTGGGTGAATTTCAGGCAGCCCATAACACAACACAGGCTTAAGTTCTACAATAATGTTGTTTACAACAGAGCATTGTAGGAGATTGAACATCATGTTCAGACAGGTCTGAATTCAAATCCTACCTCTGCCCTAGAATGACCATATCTTTCAGCACATTGCCTAATTTATCTAAAAAGAGAAATTGGAGGCCTAGAGAGAGAAGGTGGTCCTCAGAGCCCAACTCCTAGAGCTCCATTCACCATGCACCGTGAGCTCACTCTCATGGCCAGCCATCTGTACATAGGGGAAAGGAGAAGACTGAATTAGAGGCAGAGTCTTGCTCTGTTGCCCAGCCTGGAGTGCAGTGGTGCTATTTTGGCTCACTACAACCTCTGCCTGCTAGGTTCAGGTAATTCTCCCACCTCAGCCTCCTACGTAGCTGGGATTACAGGTGTGTGCCACCACTCCTATTTTTTTTTCTTTCTTTTTTTTTTTTTTTTTGGTATTTTTAGTAGAAACGGGGTTTCACCATGTTGGCCAAGCTGGTCTTGAACTCCTGACCTCAAGTGATCCTCCTGCCTCGGCCTCCCATAGTGCTGGGATTACAGGCGTGACCTACCACACCCTGCCAAGAAGACTGAATTTGGCAGCATCTCCATGATGAAGAGCCCAGCTGAGCCAGGTACTATGGCTCACACCTGTAATCCCAGCACTTTGGGAGGTGTGCAGATTGCTGGAACTCAGGAATTTGAGACCAGCCTGGGCAACATAGTGAGATCCAGTCTCTACAAAAAATTTAAAAATTAGCCACGTGTGGTGGCCTGTACCTGTGGTGCTAGCTATGTGAGAGGCTGAGGTGGGAGGACTGCTTGAGCCCAGGAGGTTGAGGCTGCAGTGAGCCGTGATCATACCACTGCACTTCAGCCTGGGTGACAGAGCAAGACTCTGTTCCCCATCTCCCTAAAAAAAAAAAAAAAAAAAAGCTGACAGTGTGGAAAGAGAGTGAGACCCCACCTCACCCCACCAAGGACGAGGTCAAGCTATGAAAGACAAATGCAAATTGCTAAGCAGGAGGCTAGGAGATAAAGGGAAGGTTTAAGGGGGAAGAGAGAAAGAGCTCTCTCTTTCCAAAGAAGAGAATGGAGCCAGCAAAATGGTAGGGGCTTGTGGACTGTGTATTTGACCCCTCTTCACAATCCAAAATCTTCAGTAAAATAAATATGATGCACACTCACAAAACATGTCATGAGGGGGTTTACAGCAGAAACTCACATAGGAAACCAAAAGGATACATTTGTTCCATGCTGTTCAGGAAAGAAACAGTGTACATGGAAACAAGAGTCCAGGGGCCAGAGGAAGCCATTAGAATCTCAGTCCCCTGAGTTGGTAAATATCTAGGGGAGGAGTTTGGACCTCTACAGGCCATTGGATTGGTTGGGAGTTGAGCCAATTGTACCTAGATCTTCAAAATGCAAGGGCTGGCACGTGGACTTGAAGATATCTCTGGGAATGCAACAGGAGTCTCCTGCAGTGTGCCTGGCCCACCTGAGGATGGCCCTGAAGGATCTGGGTCACAATGCAAAGGATTTAACCTGGAGAATGAAAGGAGAATGGAAGGTGGAAAAGAAATGAGGCAACAGCCTGCAGCAGGAGAAATATTTAGTGTAAGGGCAGGATCCCTGTTGTAGTCAATTCAGGCTGCTAGAACAACACACCATAGATTGGGTGGCTTATAATCAACAGGAATTTGTTGCTCACAGTTCTGGAGGCTGAAAGTCTCCCGATGCCAGAATGGTTAGGGGCTGATGATGACCCTCTCCTGGGTTGCAGACAGCTGTCTTCTTGTTGTAGCCTCACATGGTGGAAAGAGAGCTAGAGAGCTCTCCAGGACCCCTTTTATAAGGACACTAATCCCATTCAAGAGGGCTTCATGCTCATGGCCTAATCACCTCCCAACAGCCCCACCTCCTAATACCACCCCATTGAAGGTTAGGATTTTATTAGGTTGGTGCAAAAGTAATTGCAGTTTTTGGCATTAAAAGTAATATTACGTGGATTTGAAGGAAAGCAAACATTCAGTTGATATTAATCCCTTTATCGCTGAACTCAGGGTCAATTTGGTGTGAGTGGGCAGGGTAAGAGAAGAGGAATAGAACACACCACCCCCTCCATTCCTTTTTGATGTACCCATCTGCATGCTGGCCAGTGACCACCTCCATGCCTCATTTGCCACCTTCATTAAAGTCAGAGCCCCTTAGTTCAAGGAAGCTCACATTCAAAGAAACAGCACAGCAGATAAAACAAATGTAAAAGCTATTCTCATGTTTACTGAGGTTTCTCAAACGTCATTTATGGAACCCCAATGTATAACCCATGGCAATATTTACTATACTTAACTAAATTACTAAAATTTCTTGTCTTCCCCAGTGCTGGCATACCCTAGAACTGCCTCTTCTTCCAAATCCCAACTCCAAACTCTCCCTATTGAAAATTGTCCACATCTCTACCTCTCTCCTCTCCCCTCTTTGTTCTAGATCAACTAAGGCTCTTCAACTTCTCTTTTCTTTTTTCTTCGTTTTTTATCACTACCTTGATCCTCCTCAGCTAAGGGGAGTCAAGGAATTGACCCAACAAGGAAGAATCCTTCCTTTGCCCTCCTGCCTCTCCAGTCTCAATTCTCAGTTCTCCTAACTGCATCACAACAAGGATGGGAACAAAGCTGGTGAAACCAGAAATCTCCCCTGAGGGCCTGGGAAGAAAGGCTAATGGGCAAAAGTAAATTCACTCTCAAATGAGAAGGGTAAACAAGGCTGGAACACATCTATTATCACATCTTATCACTACCGCTAATGGAACATGCACTTTTTAGGGAATTTAATTTGTGGCTTATAAACTGTCCCAGCACACTCACAAGTACGGCCTGCAGTTACTGAGTAAAATCTCCAAGAACCTCTCATATCCAGGCTTCTTAGTGGCTCAATGGGTGAGGTAGATCATTCTGATGTGGCTACTTTTGCCTTCCCCAGTGGTGTGAGCAGAATGAACAATGCAGACGGCTCCACCTGCCTGAGCTACTAGTGGCCCCACTTCAGAGGCTCACTCGATATCCGTTGTTGCTGAAGAATATCTGGAAAAGGAGCATGGACTCTGCTGAGAAAATCATGATCTACTCCATCAAGGAAAAGGTGGAAAAGTCCATCCGTAAGTCCCTGAGATAAGTGAGCTTCATTGAAGAATTGTGGCCTTGTGACTCCTGGAAACCCTCTAGGCTTCCATCTTAGGAGGCAATTCCACTGATTTGAGGTCATGGCTCTTGGAAATGTGGGTTCAAGTGTGAGTACATTGTAAATCAAATACGCACAGAACAATGGGCTCCAGTCACATCCTGGCGAACACTATGAGAACTCTAGCACCAAGTTTACACAGGATGTGGCTCTGTCTCCAAGTGTTTCAGAAGTGAGTTCAGGCAGGAAAAGTTCTACTTCCCAGATAACTGAAGGCACTTTGTTTTTAACAGCCATACTGACCCCACACACAAAGCAAATGGGAGCAAACACCATGGAAAATGTGTCCAGAGGATAAATTACCATTCATCATTTCTCAAATCACCAAAAGCCAAGGTCAATGTGAAACGACTGCCAACTGCAATCTTTAGAACTGAAATTTGAGGATGGGAACTGAGCAGGCCCTATGATGACTTAAGTTTATTTGTGTAACTCTGTGTAATTGAAATTCACATAAAGAGGTTAATGATTTATGCCCATAAACCAAGGTTTCCCGATGGGCATCAAAAGGGAACAATTCAAATTGGTAATATTCAGCTGTACATAATTTTTTTTTCTTTTACAAATTTAAAAGTAAAATGATACTGCCTGGAACAGGTGCTGTTTAAAAAAAAAAAAAAGTAAAATAACTGTTTAATTGGGTTTTTCTTCTGTTTTTAAATTTTTAATTCAAATTCTAAAATTACCTGAAGAGCTGGAATTAAGTTTATCAAGCGAGTAAGACAAAGAGTCTCTTAAAGATGACTTCTTTAAGCTTTAGAAGTAATCTTAAGGATTATGACTCATTTAGATGGGTTTGTGAGGAAAGATAACGCAGCACCTCTAGAGATTTCTCAGTGAAAGATGGATTCTGTTGTTGAGGGAAGAGACCTGTGTGGCCTCCATTTCAGTCTATTACCTTAAAGATGGTGAATTCTGAAGAGGTCTGCTAACAATGTGATTTTGCAGGTCTTTTACTTGCCCTGCATGTCTTCAAAAAACATTTCAAACCCTCAATAGCAACACGTTATTAGAAAACATTGGAAAATGAATACAAACCTTCCAAAGAGAAATTGAGTTCCTACCAAAAAAGAAATAATCACCATGATCATGAAGTGAATATATACTTTTACCATTGGGACAAAAACATGTCTGTCCTTGTTAGTCTGATTTTTTTTTCTTCCTCTAATTACAGGCCGTATGGTCTAGGAAATAAGAGAAAACTACCAAGGATTTTATTAGTATTCTTGAAATAACAATACACAATATACTTTCAACCTACTGAATTAAATTAGCTAAGCTTCATTTTTCTCTGCAAGAGGCTGATTCCAAATTAGTGAGTTTTCTAAGACGCATGAACAGTAAGCAATATGTGAAATGAACTTAATATATGGTCTGGCTCCAGGGGCAACCAGTGCTTCTAAATGATTCCTGTGGACCTTGGTTAAAATTTATATGCAATGTCACATGCACCTAAAAAGACTGACTATGTCTTGTCTTTCAGGGGACCTTGAAGGAAAAGTGAAATGGCTGGACAATTTCCAAAAATTTAGATATCTACAGGAGATTATAGTGTGGCCACCGCTTTGGGATAGAGATAAAAGGTTTTTCATTCCAGAGGTACAAAAAAAAAAATAAAAACAAAAACAAAAAACATCAATTAGGACTTCTGTCCATTTCTGGAAGTTGGGCATTCAGATAGAAATACAATCATTTTAGATGTCCCCATCTGTCCACTTGAAGAATAAATCTAGTTTCCAGAACAGGAAGTAAAGTCTTCATCTGTAGGGCATTGTGTGCGGGGAGGCTGAGGTCGCTGTGCCATTCTTATGATGGTCCTTCTGAGAGGTTTTTTCGTTGTTTCCCGTTCCCATGTCCATCTGCCGGCATTTCCAAATGTCATGAACTTTCTAGATGGAGTTGATTGCCCCAGCTTTTTAAACATGTTCTCTTCCTATCACTAACAACATCTCTTTTATTTTCTCCCTTGTTTTACAAGTGTTTGAAATACATTTTTAAAGAACATACAGCAGAAAACATCTTGTCACCAACCAACAGACACCTTCTCTACGAAGGAAAATTAACTCTTGCAGGTAAATAACTGCTTCCTTTAAAAACCCAACATCTGTGCCGCCTTGTATCTTGTTTGACTGCCAGTAACTGAAGAGCAGGAGGAATTGTGTTTGCCTATGTTCCAGGTGATGGAGGGTGTGAATCAGAGAGTACCCTATGGAGCCATACAGACTCAGGCTTGAATGAAGACTTCACAACACAACTAGCTAGGTGCCCTCTGTTTTCTCTCTGCAATGGGATAACTGTAACTATTCCATAGGATTGTTAAAACAACAAACAAGAACAACTTAGCTCACGGTCTGGAATCTAGTAAACTCTCAGTCAATGGCAGCTGTTATCATCACAACCGTTGTACTCCTCCAATGAGCCAGACAATCAAGCTCTCAAATGTTTATGGAGAATCTATAATATAGTACAAGTTGTGCTAGGTAGGTGCCATTGGAAATTATAAAAACTCATTCTGTATAATTCTTTCCCTCTAGTTGGGAAGCTCTGCCTTATTACCAGACCTGCAGGATAAGATCAGAAAAGAAGAGAGTCCTTGAGGCTGGAGTGCCCTGAGAGGCTTCGTGCAGTCCATGGGACTGGAGGTGGGCTTGGAGGGGCAGAAAGGATGAGGTCAGTGGAAGGACAGGAGGGAGGTCATTCAGATAAAGAGCAGAGCCAGAGAAGTCTTGGAGACAGAAGTCCCTGCAGAAGCTTAGTTCCTAGCAGAGTACATAGGAAGCCAAGCCCCTGAGGCTGACTGCCTGGCTCACTCCCTGCTCAGCCTTTTCTGCCTATACAACCTTGGGCCATTTACAGTGATCTCCTGTGCTTCAGTTTACCTTTCTTTATTGTGAGGATTAAATGAACCAACAGATGTCTAAGCACTCAAAAGAATGATTGACACAAAGTTCACGCTCAATAAATATCATGATGACCAGAAAGGCTGCCTGGCTGAAATAAGATTTAGAATCATTTATTTATTCATTTCTGCACAAAATCTTGACCAGGCACCTACTAAGTGTGAAGCCCCGTGGGATGGGAGGTTGCCTAACAGTGGTGATGTGATATCTGGTGGGGAGGGGCTGGGAAATAATCCCTTAATACGTGTATATTGAAACTCTGCTCTATTTTAGAGGTAGTCTGGATGTCAGGTTAGGACGTGAAACCCCCCCGGCAGCTGTTAAATAAGGAAGATAGACATGTCCAGTGTTTTATATCCAAGGGCTTTTTCATACGTTGTCTCTTTCCAGTAAATTAAATAGAGAAGTTGCTTTTAATCCCTTGTTACAGGTGAGAGATTTGGGGTTCAGGGAGGTTCTGTATCGTGCCCAAGTTCACCGGGTGGGTGAATGATAGAGTACCAGCTGGAGCCAGGCTGCGTTAGTCCAGCTGGCTTCCAGAATCAGAGCAACTGCCTTGGAAACCAAACAGAAGGACCCAGCCAGGAAGCTGCAGGCAACCGGAAGTCATTGAGCTCTCAGACAGGGAAGTGATCAGTTAAAAGGGTGTTGAAGAAAGCGTTGTTAATAAGCAGTCTTCAAAATGGCATAGAGGAGACCAAAGCAGAGAGATCAGTGGTGAAACCGGAAGTTCAATGGTGAACAGTACGAGGTGAGAAGGCTCTGGGCCTGTCAGTTGCTCTACCATTTTTAACCTGTTGTTCACCCACCCCCTACTTTCATTTGAAAAGATAACAATTTTAACTTTTCTTTAATGTTATTCACAACCTCAAAGTAATTATATTTTATGACAAGAACAAATCAAAGTGATAAAACAAAACATAATCTGTGTTCCAGCATGTATCTTTACCTCCAAAACTAGCCTCACCTGAAATTATGTGAGACTTTGGTTCACGCCTTCCCTCTTTCTCCCCACCTCCCAATACTGTGAGATGCACCAGCTTCTCCTAAAACATTAGAAATGGGCATGATGGAAAAGGATACGGGAGATATTGCAAAGGCAAAACCAGGAGGACTTTATGATCGATAAAGTGGATGAAGAGGAAATGAGTATAAAAAACTGTTCTAATCTATGTATCTGAAAGTTTTGTTGATAATGCCGTGGGTGGTAGAGGGAGTGGGGTCAGGGAGTCAATTTTAGGGTTCAGGTTTGGGCATAATAAGAACCCACATGGAAGCTGGAGGAGCAGCTCCTGGTGGGTGAGAGGCTATGTCAGATGTGAATTCATGCATCGCATGGGTTCAAAGTGACTGTCATAGATGTGTGGATTGGAAGCTCACCTAAGAAAGGCTCTTTACAAGCAGACTCAACTTTTCCAGAAAATGCTTCTTGTACAGTCAAATGTGGTAGCATGGAGATGAACTACGTAATGTCACTAACACCAGGCACTTGTTTAATGGCATGAGCTGTATTAGTCAAATTCCATCAGAGATGGAGACTCCATGTGATGTAGTCTACATGGTACCAAGTCAAGTGCAAAGTCATGAGACCGGACTCAGAGATGAGCATGGAGATTTGATGGGGCAGGGTGATAGTGTTAGAAGAAACAGGACATTTCGCTTCTTGGTCTTTTGGCTAAGATCAAGTGAAGAAACAGGACATCATTTTAAATGAAAAAAGCATTGAACCAAAAGTCAGAGGATCTAGCACCAACTGTAGACTTTGGGAAAATTTAAATGCTCTTATTCTCTTTTATAAATGTTATTGCTGCTGCTGATAATGATGATGACGATGAGGACGAAAATGATGTGATGATACCTAACACATACAGTGTTTCCGAATTTCTTCCAGACTTAAAAACTGTACTCTTATAACCAAATAAGTATACTTTCTCATTCCCAGAAGGTACACATTTTCATAATTTGTTTTGTAAATTGCTTGGTGGAAAACTAGGGCTTCAATAAATGGTAGCTAAAATAATTATCACTTTCTAGAATAATGTATGGAACATTATCTAGAATAACATCTGGAACACATAGAAGGTGTGCTCCCTGCCTGTTTGTCAAAATAAAATAGTTGAAATTAGAAGGAGAAAACGAAACTATTTCATTTTGACAATGATCATTGAGCTGACACGTACATGAGTAGCAGAGGATGGTAATAGCACATTTTACAGGTTTGAAGGTTGCTGTGGACTGAATTGTGTTCCTCCACAAATCACATGTTGAAGCCCTAATGTCCAGTGTGTCTATGCTTGGAGTAAGGAAGAAATGCAGGTAAACTGAGGGACTCGGGCTGGAGCCTTGATCTGATAGGATTAGTATCCTAATCAGAGCAGACATCAGAGAGCTCACTCTCTCTGTTTGCCGTGTAAGAACACATCCAGAAGGTGGCTATTTGCAAGTCAAAAAGAGAGGCCTTATCAGGAACCGAATCGACCAGCACCTTGACCTACTTCCCAGGCTCCAGAACTGTGAGAAATAAATTCCTATTGCTTAAGCCACCCTGTCTGTGGTATTTTGCCATGGCAGGCTGAGCTGGCTGTTCACAGGTCTAGTGTTGTACCATTTCTAGCCCTGTTTATCAGTTGGCATATAGATTCAGCAACTGGAGACAGACAGGTTAAAAAAAGATAGCTTATTTCTGTCTTGTTAAGTCTCAACCTATATGACAACTCCACTCCATGAAGTCATTAGGAATCCAGATTCCTGCTGTCTTGTAGCCAAATCTAGGGTATTGCCTTCTTCTGTGTGGCCCAAGGTGACTCACCAATGTGTTTGCTTTCTACCCAATGAGAAGGAGAGACAGGGACAAGAGAGCTTGGCCCTGCCCTTCACGAATATGACTCAGAAGTTGCATACTTTGGCTCACATTCCATTGGTCAGAATTTAGCTCCTTGGTCATACTCGGCAGCAAGAAAATGTAGTCTCTATTCTCTGTGGATGGGTCCTCACTAAAAGTTGGGAATTCCATTGCTACAAGAGAAGGGGAGAAAGGTTTTCAAGGGACATCCAGCAGTCTTTGCCACAACCTGATTTATGAAAAATTAAGTTTCTGATAAGATTTTTTAAAAACTATTCAAGGACTATTTAATTTGAATAAAATAACTGATTTCTCCCCTGTGCAAATATATAAAAAATCTTTTCTCTAAACTTAGAATAAGAGGGGATAGAAATGAATCCTAAATGTTGTATCGACTGCTTTAAATCTTCCAGGGGTAAAAACATATAAGAAAGAACTTCTAGAACAATATGTGTAATAGAATAAGCCGAAAAAAATTACTGGGTTTTCCTACGATTACTCTAAGCACTTGTCACAACCCCCTCTAAAAACCTTTTCCTCTGAAATCACTTAAATTTAACCCTTTTTTCTAATTTCTAAGGGATAGAGTAAAATAAGGAAGGAGATGCCTTATTCTAATATTTGGTTTCTCTTCTACTACTATTCCCTTCTTAGGGAAAACTAAAGAAAAGCTTTTTGCCTTAAGTAACTATTAAAGCTAATATCAGAAAAGTTTGTAAATATGAAACACATGGAGAATATCTAAACATTTATAGACATATTCTAAAACTTGAGAAATAAGTAGTTTTAATGACTGTCAACCTAGGCCGCCATAACAAAATATCACAGACAGGCTGGCTTAAACAGCAGAAATTTATCTCTTACAGTCTGGAGACTGAAAAGTCCCAGGTCAAGGTGATGGCAAATTCAGCTCCTGATGAGCACTCTCTTCAAGATGAGGGGTGGGGGACAGTGGGGTATCTGGTGTCTCAACAGAACATTAATTCTACTGGATCAGTGCTCTAGCTTTATTAACTCATTTTACCCTAATTACTTTCTTACTCCAAATGCAGCCACACCAGGGGTTTAGGGCTTCAACATATGAAATTTGAGGGACACAATAGCATAGTTCATAGCAGTGAGAAAATGCCTTTTCTCTGGTTATGTGTGCCTTTGCCAATAACCACCCAGAGGAATCAAGGGGCCAAAATGCTGCAAGGTCAATCAGTTGATGGATTTACTCTCGGCTTAGCTGAAGCCACTACAAATATCATCTGAGTTATTTTAGATTCAAATGAGACACATCATAAATTCAATGTCTTTAATGTTAGAAGCTTGGCCTCTCATCAAGTCTCT